GTTAAATATCCAGGATCATAACTGCTGGGTCATATCGTAAGAACTATTTTATTTTTTAAGAAACTGGAAATTGACTTCCAAGGTATCTGTACTATACTGCATGAGTGAGAGTTCCAGTAGCTCTACATTCTTTCCAGCATTTGGTATTGCTAGTTTTTTTAGATTTTTGCCATTCTAGTAGGTGCATAGTAGTTTTAATTAGTGATTCCCAAAGACAGATGATGTTGAACATCTCTTCACATGCTTATCTACGATCTGTAGGTCTTCTTTGGTGAGGTGTCTGTTCGGATCTTTTTCTCATTTCTTCATTGGATTGTTAGTTTTCTTATTGTTAAGTTTGAAGAGTGATTTGTATATTTTATATAAAAGTCCTTTATCAGACATGTGTCTGGTAATATTTTCTCTGTCTCTGGCTTATCTCTTCTTGACAGTGTCTTTCAGAGAACAGACATTTTTAATTTTAATGAAACGCAAGTCATCTATTTTTTTTTTTCTTTCATAGATCATGCTTTTGGTGTTGCATCTAAAAACTCCTTGCTAAGTGACTAGAGCAATATTTTCAAAAAGCAATTGACTTTATTCTGGTACCCTGACATCATACATACAAAGTCTGTAGGCAGTCTATAGGTAATGCTTCAGTAACAGCAGGGAGTTGGAGCTCAAATTAGGATGTAAAAGAACAAGAAGGAGAAAAGCAGAGTGCTCATGAGAGGAGCATAGAGCAGGTGATCTGGGGGAAGTGGTGTTGCTGCTCAGGGGTAAGAAACCTGCTACTGATGGCTATTATTGCGCGACATCAAAATGATCTTGGATTTGATTGCACATGGCTATGCCAAGTACAAGAATGTGGAAATGATCAAATGTGTATATTATCATTGTCCCTCAAATGGATGGCTGCAGGAGAGAACCAAAGTCAACAGACATTTTACCTACTATTTTTGGGGGATTGTATTCAGAGTGTTTGGGACATTCCAGCTTGTGACAATGAAAGCAGTCAACCAGAAGGATAGTATTGCAGAGTTAGAGCTCGTCCCAGTTCAAGAGTGTGTGAAACCAGATTAACTGGACATACTCTTAATGCAATCCAGGTATAGCAAAAGTCACCTTCCATTATGAAGAATTACTTGATAATCTTAGTACAACGCAAACCTAAAATCCCCAGAAAGCCAGCAGACTCAATACCAGCCAAATCTCATAATCCCCACACCATAAGACTGCAATTCTTGAGTTGTTTTGAAATTTTATAGTACTGAATATATTTGAAGTAAATAGGCTATACTCCTGGGATATGGGAATCTTCTTTCATAATGAGAATCTTCTCATTTTTATTTTAATGAGGACTGTTGTCATGTAATTATATCTCAAAATGTAAGATAAGAACATCTTTCTGTCCACTTTTATATGCCTGTGGGAGAGGGTTATAGTTCACTGAAAATATCTGTTTTGTAACTGAGGTCACTTCTGACTTGAGTCGGTGAACTCATTCTCCAACAGGAGGACAAGGCTACCAAGAAAGGAGCAGTAGTTTAAGATAGAAAGCTAGTGACATCTACAGAGACAATCTGATCTACATTGAGAGCCATTACTATCAGGCATGCCAGGAAACACAGAGACATACAGTGAATTAAAGCATTGTCCTTGCTCTCAAGAGGCTGAAGGCTCTTTCTAGGAGAAAAATATAAAATATGTACACTACTTCTTATTCTTTTTGTGAGAGGGAAAAGAGTAACCAAGTAAGTCCTATCCTGTGACGTTACTAATCTTTGACCTCTAGACATTGGAAGTTGGAAAGCTGTTAAATATTATATAACTCAATGGCCACATTTTATAGATAAACCTAGAAAAGTGAAATAAATGTATCTAAGATTGCAGGGTTGGGACTAGAACCCAAATTTCCTGACTTGTAATCAAGTATTCTTGACTCTATTACACTGCCTCTCTTAAATTCAATGACTCTCCTCACCCCTGCTTCTCATAGTCAGGCTGTGTCTCGTTATGTCTCTATTAGACTCTGATTCATAGAACTTATGCTGTTTCCCCTTTCATGCTCATCTTCAAAAAGTCTACTTCACAGCTCCAATTTGACAGATAATTTTTTAAAATATTAAGAACTGGGGTGCCTGGGTGGCTCAGTCTTTAAGTGTCTGCCTTCGGCTCAGGTCATGGTCTCAGGGTCCTGGGATCAAGCTCCATGTCAGGCTCCCTGCTCAACAATAAGCCTGCTTTGCACTCTCCCCTCCCCCTGCTTGTATTCCCTCTCTCGCTGTGTCTCTCTCTGTTCAATAAACAAATAAAATATTTTAAAAAAATAAATAAAATATTAAGAACTTATTCTGGTTGAACGCAGTAGAGAGACTACCAACTCAAGTAAGACATGCTTCCTACCTGTGAGGAATTTATTCTAAACATCAAGTAGGGTACTCTGAGACACCAAATTTATGTATGTATGTGAAACTCATTACCACCACCCAATCAAGATTTCTAGCAGATCATCTTTTTAGTCAATGCTTCCTTAATTCTGTGGGCTCTACAGTAAAATCTTGAAGCTATTTTTGCTACTCGGGCATGGAAGTGGGACTATGTGGTTTTCAATTCCTGCTGTACCATTAACAGATCAGTTTTGAAACTCCAGGCAAGTCACACCTCTCTGGGTTTACTCTACTCAATCAGTAAAATGCAGGGAATGAACTTGCTATAATTCACCTTGTTTTCCAAGGTGAGCATAATCAATGTATTTTATTTCTATCTATGTATCTACCTAGCTAGCTAGCTATCATCAATTTATTTATTTTAAAGATTTTATTTATTTGTCAAGAGAGAGGGAGAGATAGCACAAGCAGCAGGAGCAGCAGGCAGAGGGAGAAGTAGGCTCCCTGAGCAAGGAGTCCAATGGGAAACTCGATCCTAGGACCCTGGGATCATGACCTGAGCTGAAGGCAGATGCTTAACAGACTGAGCCACCCAGGTGTCCTGTCATCTATTTATGTTTTTATGCATATCTCTTACATTTCTCCTCCTTCATGTTTATCAGAGTCAAACCATTTCTGAGTTATTGCTAAGCAGGCTTCAAGCTTTTCAGTGTAGATGTGACTTGCTAAAAGTAATTTTAAGCAAGATATAGTCTAGAGGTCCAGGTTAGACTGGAGGCTAGAAAACTAATTTAAAAGCCTATTAGCATAAAGACCAATCTCACAGCAAAAGCCTGTCTTTCAAGTCCCTCAAAAGTAGTTGCTCAAAAATAGGCCTGTTGGCCTTTCTGATTTTATTTCACATGACTCCTCAACACATGGCCTTTCTGACCACATCTTCATGTTTTTTTAAAATTTAAAATCAATTAGTTAGCATATAATGTATTATTAGTTTCAGAGGTAGAGTTCAGTGATTCATCAGTTGCATATAATACCCAGTGCTCATTACATTGCATATTCTCCTTAATGCCCATCACCCAGTTACCCTGTCCCTCTACCCACCTCCTCTCCAGCAACCCTCAGTTTGTTTCCTAGAGTTGAGTTTCTTATGGTTTGTCTCCCTCTCTGATTTCATCTTCTTTTATTTTTCCCTCCATTTCCCTATGATCCTCTGTTTTGTTTCTTAAATTCCACGTAAGAGTGAAATCACATAATTGTCTTTCTCTGACTGACTTATTTCACTCAGCATAATACCCTCTAGTTCCATCTTCATGTTTTTAATGTTGTTATTTCCAACCTTCCTATGAGGGACTTCTTACCTTTCCTCAAACTTAATTTCAATAGCTTCCTTAAGACTGATTTCCTGGGGTGCCTGGGTGGCTCAGTGGGTTAAAGCCTCTGCCTTCGGCTCAGGTCATGATCCCAGGGTCCTGGGATAGAGCCCGGCGTCAGGCTCTCTGCTCTGCAGGGAGCCTGCTTCCTCCCCTCTCTCTCTGCCTGCCTCTCTGCCTACTTGTGATCTCTGTCATTCAAATAAATAAATGAAATCTTTAAAAAAAAAAAAAGACTAATTTCTTCTATGGAGTCAGATTTTTCCTCTCTCTTCTTATGTTATTTAATTAACATAAATATTTAGAGTACCAATAATAATCCCCTTTTCTAACTCCCTCTAATGAATATAGCTGGCATAACAGAGATGATATGTAAAGACTCTGGTCAACATTAAAAGGAAGATGTAAAGGTGATGTAAAGAGTGTAACTTATTTCCTTTAGTATTTTCTCTTATTTCCTTTGCCGATTAAAGCAAGCAACTAATTGTTGGTCTCTGTAGTAAAGGATTAATATATGTTTTTAAGTTGTTTTAGAATATTTAATAAGAAAATGAAAGTATATTTTCTTATTTATTTATTTATTTAGAAAGTACATTTTCTTGGCTACCAACTTCTGATATATGAAATGTCTGGACAAAAGGATATGAAGTATTACCATTAATACGTAATTTAGGCAGCTATTCAAACAGTGAATAATGTTACACAAACATTGGCAGAATAACTGACTCAGTTAGTAGGTAAGCTCTTAAGACTATTTATATTCCAGTCATGATGCAATCAGTGCCAATCTGACCAAATGATTGTCAATGTCAGTCTTAATAACAGTAGAGAAGCAATGAGGAAAACGAAGTTTTTATTTTCTCTCTTTCAGACTGTCTTATTGCTGACTGAGCCCTAATTTGAATCCCCTCTTCAGAGGCCACAATTAGATGAGTAAAGGGTTTGATCCGACAAGAGTAAAGCAATACTGGTATATCACACCAGTCCTCTCAGTACCCACTCTGAGAACATTCAGTGAACTCTCTTGCACCACCTCCAAAGGAGATTTTCCCAAGAGATGGGTTTCAAGCAATTTTAGCTCCCATCAATACTGTCTGTTTGTCATAACTGAAAAAATATCCATTATATTACAAAAAGATTCTGTTATCCAGTATTTGTTAATTATGATTGAGACCAGAAACATACAAAGTTTCAAAGGGAAACAATTGAAGGGAACATCTGAAAGTGATTTCCCCCCCTTCTTTGTTGTTCTGCTACTCACGGCAAATCTTCCAAACTGGAGGCTTCGTGTCTTGGATCCAATAGATCATAACCACATTCATTGTAGATTTCCAAATAGGAAATGTGCGTTGTATGTATTGTGCTGCTGTCCTGATTGGAAAAGGGGAAGACATTGTTTAATGGCTATAAATAGCGACTCAGCTTGGAGAAGGATGAACACATTTATCACTACAGTTCCTCACAGCTTTCTCTCCTTTACTCTCTTCACTTTGTATGGTTTCCATTTTCAGTTCGTGACACTTTCAAGTTGCCAGTTACCATATGCATGAAGCATTTTTTTTAAAAGGCCAACACCCATGATTACAAGCAACTTTAGTCTGTTGTTTTTTTATTGGTTCCACGTTATACATGAAGAGTCAATATACACTTAAAATGAGCCAACTTGGTTGCAGAACTGTATAACACACCATTTTTTTACTTTCCAGACCCCCAAAAAAAGGTTACTATGAAAAAATAAACTTACATCCTGTGAATAGCCTATTCATAGAAGAAAACAGAATCATGACTTCAGTTTAAAAACCTCAGTAGCATAAGAGTTTCCATCTTCAATCATAATTTTTTTTTAAATTTTTCCAATATTCAAACTTTCTGATGAGACAAAGAGATAACAGACAATAGAAGAGAATGGAAAATGAATCCCAGGGGACAGAAATACTTTAGCTCAATCAGGTAACAGTAAGAGCGGACATTCACAGTTCAATGCCTATATCTTACTGTTGGGTTAATTTTCCTGGCCTACGTGGCAGGTCAGGGATACTGAGCTATTGGTTTGAGGGTATTTTCTGTGGGTCATTGCTGGGGAAGTGCAATGACGCAGGCATATGTGTCATTAGGATAAAAATCAAGGTGAAAGGTCCTGTCTCAGTTCTGCCAGCAGACAAAAAGTACCTGTTCTCTCTGAGATGGAATAAAATGGAATTTTTTCAGGTCTCAAGAAAATTCCTGGCTCAGTTTTCAAGACCAAGTATCAATTTCTAGCACTTTTTCTTGCTTTCCCCAAAATACAAATTCTTCCATTTCGGCAAATAGAGCCCTACTTCTCCTAAGAGGACAATATATTTGTGTCTTATGGCAAAAAGGTCAGCAGATTGCCAGAGAATTTGCTCAGGATGACTTTCCCATTGATTCTCACCCATATCCAAGGCAATCCATTTGACAGATACTATTCAAAGGGAGAGAGGACCAAGTCACAGAGATGGGGGAAGAGCAGGGGCCTGCAAATCCAGAGCTGGAATCCTAGGACTACTTGCTATGAGCCCCTGTGATGTCAGGCTTAAGTTTCCATAACCATTAGTAAGGCAATTGAATAACGAATCCCCATGTGTTCTTCAGATTAAAATTAGTATGATTCTTTGGTCCTAACATGGCTCAAACTACCCAAAGAAAAACACCAAGATTTCATAAAAACAAAACAACACCTGAAAAGTTAAGACAATTCTCAGGCACCACATGACTACAGTGAAACCCTCAAGCTACTGCTGAAATTCCATGTTCTGGTGGTTTGGGAAGGTGACAGCATGGACTGAGTCTCCACTAAGCAAATTTCTCCCAAGAAAATGCTGGAAATCTTCCTGATGTGGGCGACTCCGGCTGCTTATCCTAACACATGGCCTGTTGATCAGATTAGTGTAGTAAAGGCACCATTTCAACATCATTCTGTGGGTTATAACTTGGCTTAGCACAGGTATCAGAGACCATAAATACTAGGCAGATTCTGCATGGCCTTCAGTCTAATAGATTTCCCCAAAATGTCCCATGAAAGAATTTGTGGGAAAGTGTTCCATGATCAATATATATGCTGTCCCTCTCTAGAAGATTCTCAAAGCATGTTAAAGGCCACAGGGATCATTTACCAACTTCCTGAGATCCTGTTCAAAAGCAATATATTTCTAAAACTTATCTGACCATATCTGACTTATCCCATATATAATAGTTTGAGATTTTAGCAGACAGTTCAGGGTTCATCTTAGCATCAGAAAAAGCTGGGTTTGAACACTGAATCTGGCATTTACAACTGAGTGATCGTGCATTATCTGCAGCTGTTTAATTGTGGAATTGGGGAGAATAACCCTCATCTTGCAGAACTGTTGTGACAGGGAAATGGGGTTCTGAACTTCAAATCCCACCAAGAACATGTGGCCCTGTAATAATCCCCAATAAATCCTTGCTACTGTTATTATTATTGCTATTGTTATTGTTTCTATTATTTCTAAAGGGCTCCAAATGGAGAATTCAGCACATGACTATAAAAGAGAAGGCAAAGAAAGGAAAAACAACAGCCAACTTGTATGTTCATCTGCAGTGAAGAAATTCTCTTTCTTTCAGAAAGTAGAAGAAATCATCGTAAGTCAGGAAAATGGCAGGTCCACTCCCCTGAGATGATGGGGATAATGCCTTTGGCTCCTCCAGCTTCTGCATTTTCTGGACTTTTATTGGAATACACACTTAAAAGTCACTGAGTAATGGGGTAAGCTACCTTTCCTTATTACTCCTTTTTTAGTGTTTGGGATTGCCAGACTATAATGTAACACACATGTTTCCTGCAGACAGCCTTTTCTCCTGCCCCAAAACAAGTCTGAACCTCACAATACTCAAAAATAATGAGCAGTGATTTCTAAAATAAATGGAATCAATTGTCTTCTGTTAAAATCACTGCAAATGTGCTCCCACCACACTCACAGCATTTTAGGAGCCAGTATACAATTGCTCTTAGTTTATCTTGAAATAAATATTTTGCATAAGTCAAATATTTCCTTTAAGAATTCTAGAGAGCCCCATGTGGCCCTCTGAAGCAATTGACTGGAGGCATCTGAGTACCTGTCTGCATTTTTCAGCTACACAACGTAGACAAACTTAATGATGAAACTCAAGTTGCCTCTGACTAATTTTGTAGCAGTTTGGTTTGATTATAATGAATGTGTTGTGCCCCATCAGGGAAATCCCTCCTTTTACAAAGAGTTGTCCTGGATATAAATTGGTCCAAGGAGCTCTCTCCAGTCCAGGAACTGATTTAGGATCATTCAAAATGAAACGAGGTTTACAATATTGTCAGTGACCAAACAGATATACAACAATGGACCCTGCAGATGGTAGGTACTTGGGAGACATTTTGACTTTTACTGGATTTGGTATCCACAGACAAAATTTTAGAAGGGACAAATGTATTTTCTGTTAGGAAAGGATTTGTTTATTCTATTTAACTTAATCAGGGAAATTGGTTTCATTTGTTCTAGTTTCAAAGGATTCTTTGAAATTAATCAGGATTGTTTGGCCACGAGTGTGTGTGTGTGTGTGTGTGAATATAAATATTAACAGCAATTGTAAATGAGCTCATTTGTTGAGCATATACTATATGCGAGGAACTGAACAATATCTTTAGATACAGTATGTTCAGCCCTCACAGTGAGTCCACAACCCTGAGACCTTAAGTCTCAACTGCCACTAGGCCACATGCTCTAAGTGGTACACTTTCTCAGAACCAGATTGGCCTACACCAACTTCAGTGATCTTTCCAAGACAACATTGGGCCACAGCAGCAAAAACTATTAGAAATTATATTACCAGTCTGTGAAATCTGGGAACAAAACAAAACAGCTAATGTCAGAAATAAATGAGTAAATGAAAAGACAGGATCTGAATCCAACTTATACACTATACTCAACCCTTTCTCTTCCACATTTTCTGGCATGAAGAGTTGGCATGTTTGAGCAAGTGAGAGATGAGCTGAACTAATGGGTAATTGCTACTTTATGGATGGAAATTAGAATTATGCAGATCTCAGCAATTTCTTCTCATCTTTGCAACTCAAAAGGCAAAAAGCATACAGTCAAGAAATTTTGGAAAAACTGTTACACTGACCTAGTTAGGATATTTGTTATACAGAATTCATAAAAACCAAGTAAGTGTAGGAATTAGTAGGGCTAATGGAGATCTTCTAGTACAATACACTTCCCAGTTTCACAGAGGGGGAAAACGAAAACCTAGTGAAGTTATGGGACTCACTATTGTTTAAATACAACCAACAAAATAAAGCCAGTCTGAGACAGAGAGGCAGTGTATGTAGTGGTAAAAATTTAGCACAGAGTGTGGCATCACACGGACCTGGGATGGACCTCTAAGTCAGTTATAAAGACTCAGAGAAAGATATTTAGACTCATTTTTACCAACTATGAAATTGGGATAAGGATACCTACTTTGCTAGTTGTATTATATGTTATATTAATATATAATAATGTATATATGTTATATTAAATGTATTATATGTAATAAAGCAATAGGCACTTAGAGACACACAATAAATGATGCATATAATACAGAGAACTTCTCTTCATAAGAGTATTAATTGCAATAGGTGTTTTACTCTGGTAAAAGTCTTTTGGGCTTCTATTACAATTGTGAAAAAGGTACAATCACATCATCTTACTCAGTGTTTTAGTAGCTGAAATAAAGATGTCTTAGCAAAAGGACATCCAGTTTCTTAATGAGAAATATAAGATGTTAGTTGGTAAAATGTGTTATCTGTTCTTTTAACCTCCATGGATGTATCAGAAGGACCTCCCTTTGAACCTTTGCTGAAACAGCATCCCTTCAATGAAATGTACCTTAATTTCTACTTCTTCAGCAAAATCCTAAACTTCCCTTAAATATAAAGGCCAGAGTTATTACACAATAATACTTCCTCATTTAGATATAATAAAATGTCACAATAAATTTTTTACCCACCATAAATTTCTGCTGAATATATCGAATAGAAAATGAACTTAAAGTTCCATACCTTTTGTAATTTCTCAAAAATGTATGACAGTGTCCTTGGGATAATGCCTCGGTCACTATAGCGTTCTGCCCCACCCGTGATGGTGAATGTCTTCCCACTGCCTGTTTGCCCATAGGCAAAGATGGTACCATTGTAACCTGCCAAGACACTACATAAAGAAATGGCACACTTTAATATCAAATGACTAATCGCACAAGTATTACATGGCTTGTATTCTAATAGCAGCCTTATTCAACACTAGTGAAAAGACATGTATAAAAGTATCTCTATATGTGAGTATCTAGCTAAAATAATTCACATTTTTTTAAATCCAGGAAAATCAGCACAACCAATCATTTTCTCTCTATAACTCAAATGGAGTCTGTTCATCTTAATTATTTTTTAATCTAATTTTTCTTTAGAAAAATTTTATATTTACATAAAAGTTATAAAGATAGTGCAGAGCTAACACATGCCCTACACCTAGTTTCCCCTACTGTTGATAACATTATTATTGTGCACCTGTAACAACTAAAGAACCAATACTGATGTATTATACATTTTATAAAAATGTCCTTGGTTTTTATATATTGTCTTTTAATTTTTTTTCCAGCTTTACTGAGATATAACTGACACATAAATGTAAATTTAAAGTATACAAATGTGATGATATGATACACAAATATGCTGTGAAATGAGTCCCACAATAAGATTAGTTAACACATCCATCACCTCACATAATTATCATTTTTGGAGGTGGTGATAACATTTAAGAGCAATACTCTTAACAACTTTCAAATATATAACATATAGTCACTATGCTGTACATTCAATCCATAGAATTTATTCATCTAATAACTGGAAGTTTTTACCCTCTGAACAACATCCCCACATTTCCCCCATGCACCATCCCCTGACAACCCCCATTCTTTTCTTGATATTTATGAGTTCAGTTTTTTAGATCCTACATGTAAATGAGAATATACAGAATTTGTCTTTCTCTGTCTTATTTTACTTAGCATAATGCTTTCAAGGTCCAACTACATTATTGCAAAATGGCAGAATTTTCTTCTTTTTATGGCTGATTAATATCCCATTGTGTGTGTGAGCGCACTCACGTGTGCATGTGTGTGTGTGTGTGTACACCACATCTTCTTTGTTCATTCATCCATCGATAGACATTTAGGTTTTTCCATGGCTTGGCTATTGGGAAAAATGCAATGAACTTGGGGAGGCAAATGCCCCTGTAATATTTCATTTCCTGTGAAATACAGGCAGAAGTGGCATTGTTGGATCATTATTGGCAGTTTTAGTTCTAATTTTTAAAGGAAACTCCATACTGTTTTCCATAGTAGCTGCACCAGATTGCATCTTCACCAACAGTGCACAAGGAGTCCCTTTTCTTTACATCCTTGACAGCATTTGCTGTCCTTGACAGTATGATAATAGCCATCCTAACAGGTATGAGGACATGTCTTACGTTTTTGGTTTGCATTTCCCAGATGATTAGAAATACTGAACACCTTTTATGTATCTGTTAGCCATCTATACTTCTTCTTTGGAGAAATTTCTATTCAAGTCCTCTGCCTATTTCTTAACTGGATTTATGCTTAACATGTAATCTATCCAGGAGAATGTTTCATGTGTACTTCAGTAGAATCTGTATTGTGCTGCTCCTGGGTGAAATGTTCCATATATGTATGTCTGGTAGGTTCATTTGCCTTAGGGTATAGTTCCTATCCAATGTTTCCTTCTTGATTTTTTTCTTTCTTTCCTTCTTTCCTTCTCCCTCACTCCCTCCCTTCCTCTCTTCCTTCCTTCCTTCCTCTCTTTCTTTCTTTTTTCCTTCATCCTTTCAAGATTTATCTATTTATTCTTTGAGAGAGAAAGAAAGAGAGAAGAGAGAGTGGGGGGGCAGAGGGAAAAGGAGAGAGAGGATCTCAGGAAGATTCCTTGCAGAGCAGAGAGCTCAATGTGGGGCTTGATCCCATGACCCTGAAATCAAAATGAAAATCATGACCTGAGCCAAAATCAAGAGTCGGATGCTTAACAAAGTAGGCCACCCAGGCGCCCCTCCTTACTGGTTTTCTATCTGGATGATCTATCCATCGTTGAAAGTGGGGTGTCATGAGAGACCAGTGGAACAGAGTAGAGAGCCCAGATAGGGACCCTCAACTCTATAGTCAAATAATCTTCGAAAAAACAGGAAAAAATAAACAGTGGAAAAAAGTCTCTTTAATAAATGGTGCTGGGAAAACTGGACAGCTATATGTAGAAGAATGAAACTCGACAATTCTCTTACACCGTACACAAAGATAAACTCAAAATGGATAAAAGACCTCAATGTGAGACAGGAATCCATCAGACTCCTAGAGGAGAACATAGGCAGTAACCTCTTCGATATCAGCCACAGCAACTTCTTTCAAGATATGCCTCCAAAGGCAAAGGAAACAAAAGCAAAAATGAACTTTTGGGACTTCATCAAGATCAAAAGCTTCTGCACAGCAAAGGAAACAGTCAACAAAACAAAGAGGCAACCCACAGAATGGGAGAAGATATTTGCAAATGACAGTATAAACAAAAGGTTGATATCTAGGACCTATAAAGAACTCCTCAAACTCAACACACACAAAACATAATCATATCAAAAAATGGGCAGAAGATATGAACAGACACTTCTCCAGTGAAGACATACAAATGGCTATCAGACACATGAAAAAATGCTCATCATCACTAGCTATCAGGGGGATTCAAATTAAAACCACATTGAGATACCACCTTACACCACTTAGAACGGCCAAAATTAGCAAGACAGGAAACAATGTGTGTTGGAGAGGATGTGGAGAAAGGGGAACCCTCTTACACTGTTGGTGGGAATGCAAGTTGGTGCAGCCACTTTGGAGAACAGTGTGGAGATTCCTCAAGAAATTAAAAATAGAGCTTCCCTATGACCCTGCAATTGCACTACTGGTATTTACCCCAAAGATACAGATGGAGTGAAAAGAAGAGCCATCTGTACCCCAATGTTTATAGCAGCAATGGCCATGGTCGCCAAACTGTGGAAAGAACCAAGATGCACTTCGACGGACGAATGGATAAGGAAGATGTGGTCCATATACACTATGGAGTATTATGCCTCCATCAGAAAGGATGAATACCCCACTTTTGTAGCAACACAAATGGGACTGGAAGAGATTACGCTAAGTGAAATAAGTCAAGCAGATATAGTCAATTATCATATGGTTTCACTTATTTGTGGAGCATAACAAATAGCATGGAGGGCATGGGGAGATGAAGAGGAGAAGGGAGTTGAGGGAAATTGGAAGGGGAGGTGAACCATGAGAGACTATGGACTCTGAAAAACAATCTGAGGGTTTTGAAGCGGTGGGGTGGTGGGAGGTTGGAGGAACCAAGTGGTGGGTATTAGAGAGGGCACAGATTACATGGAGCACTGGGTGTGGTGCAAAAACAATGAATACTGTTATGCTGAAAAGAAATAAAAATTTAAAAAAAAGAAAAGTATGATAACTGAAATAAAAAATTCACTAAAACAGTATATTTGAGTTGGTATAAGTAAGTAAATTTCAAGATAGGACAATTGAGATTATTCGGTCTACACAATAGAAATTATAAAGAATGAAGTAAAATGAACAGAGAAATCAGAGATCAACATTTGCATAAAGTCCCAGATGGTGAGGAGAGAGAATGTTTAAAAAAATAGTAATTGCCAAAAGGTAGTCCAATTTGATGAAAAACATTAATCTACATATCCGAGAAGCTCAATAAACTCAAAGGTATCCAAACTTCAGCACATCATAATTAAACCATCTAAAGACAAAGAAAATCCTGAAAATAGCAAAAGAGAGGTGACTAATCACACACAAGGAATCCTTTTTAAGATTAACAGCGGATTTCTCATCAGGAATCATGGAGGCCACAAGGTAATGGAATAACATATTCAAAATACTGAAAGAGTAGTTGGGATACCTTCCTTTGCAAAAATTAACAAGTCTCCCAAAATTTACATTTTAATTTTGTTTTCAGATTATTTATTGTTATTCTATAGAACTATAATAGATTTTTCTATATTGACCTTGGACACTGAAATTTTGTTGAAATTGTTTACTTCTTCTTATCCTCTAAGAGTGGATTACCTAGGATTTCTATATACAAAATCATATCATCTGCAAATAAACATTTACTTCTTCTTTTCTAATCTAGATGGCTTTTATTTCTTTTTCTTGCCTAAATGCACTAAATTCTCTCCACTTCTGTTTATCTGGGAATATCAATTTTTCCTTCACTTTCAAAGAATGACTTTTTGCAGATATAGAATTCTCTATTTGTAGATGGCATGATCTTGTACATACACAGAAAATTCCAAGGAATCTACCATAGAACTATTAAAAGCAATAAACAAGTTCAGCAAGGTTGTAGGGTACAAGACTTAATGAAAAGTGGCATTCTCCCATCTGACCTATAGGTCCATGCAAACTCCATTAAGATCCAAACTGTTTTTTCAGAAAAACTGACCAACTTCTGAAATTTATATGGAAATTCAAGGGTTCAAGAAGAGCCAAAACATCTTGAAAAATAACAAAGGTAGAGGACTCACATTTCTTTCTTTTTTAAATTTTCTAATTTATTATTTTTCAGTTTTCAAGTAATCTCTACACACAATGAGGGGCTCCAACTCACAACACTGAGATCAAGAATTGCATGCTTTACCAACTGAGTCAGCCAGGCACCCCTTAAATCAAAACCTACTATCATAACAGTAATCAAAACAGTGGGATATTGGCATAAGGATAAACATACCATGAATGAAATAGAATTGTGAGTCTAGAAATAGACCCTTATGTTTACAATCAATTGATTTTTGACAAGGGTGTCAAGAACACTCAATAGAGGAAAGAAGAGTATTTTCAAAAAATGATGCTTAGACAATGGATATTCACATGTAAAGGAATGAAGCAGGAATTCTACTTCATACTACATACAAAACTTAATTCAAAATGGATCATAGACCTGAGATAAGAGCTAAAAGTAAAAAAAACTCTTGGAAGAAAACATGGGGTAAATCTTCATGACTTTGGATTAGGCAATGGTTTCTTAGAAATTACATCAAAAGCACAGCAGCCAAAGAAAAAAGATAAACTGGATTTCATA